GATGCAATCGCACTAGAATCGCTCACTCACTCGATCGGATGAACGCTATCAAGCTAGAGTGAGTTAGAGGGCTCCCAAGCACCACCACATAAGCCACCAAGGCTCTAGTGTGCTCCCCTTCTCAGCCAAAGGTCGACCAACACTTCTATTTATAGCCCCACGGGCTAAAATAGCCGTTACCCCTTCACTGGGTAGATTTCGGGATGACCGGATGCGCAGGTCGTGTGCACCGAACACGTCCGGTGTGGCGACCGGACGCGTCCGGCCGCTGCGTCCGGTCACTGCTTGACTGCCACGTGTCTCATTCAAACAAAGTAGCCGTTGCCATCCAACAACCCTCTCTGACATGCTCTAACGCGATGCATTGGACGCACTGTAGCGAAGTGATCGGATGCAAGAGGGGCAGCGTCCGATCGAGTCTAGAGAGCTCTCAGAGCCCCTCAACTATGACCGGACGCGTATGGTGTGGCTGACCGGACGTACAGGCGGGGCAGCGTCCGGTCGAGTCCAAAGAGCTCCTAGAGCCGCTCAACTATGACTGGACGCGCCCCTGCGTCCAGTCCTCTCTGGACCAACACGGGTGCCCCACGTCACCACAACCTGAAGCTAAATAGTGATTGCTCAGCGTCCGGTCACTGTCATGAGCCAGAGTTCGGTCACCTCGGCAACTCTGCCCACGCCTGGCCAGAATACCGGACGCATCCGGTATCGATATCGGACGTGTCCGGTAATGTTGGGAACACTGCCGCCTGAGTCTTAAACCGGACGCGTCCGGTCCTCATGTCGGAGGCGTCCGGTCACCCCATGACCAGCGCATTCAACTCCTTTTCTTCACCAACTTCTCCTTTGTAAATGTGCCAACACCACCAAGTGTACAACACCTTGTGTACGTATATTAGTTTTTCACATACATTTTTCAAGGAGTTAACCACTCAACTTGCCGCGCCACTTGATCCTAGCAACAATGCAAAGTTAGATCACTCGAGTGACACTAGATGACCAATATGCAAACAAGTTTGCCCCTCTTGATAGAACGGCCATCTATCCTAAACCCGGTCATCAACTTCTCTACACACCTATGACCGGTGAAATGAAATGCCCTAGGTTATACCTTTGCCTTGCGCATTCCATTCCATCTCCTCCAATGTCGATGCAACACATGAACCAACATGATCAACAATGATATGATTCACTCCATATCATCACGTGATTATATTGGTTTATCGATCTTGACTTCACTTGCTTTTCACCGTTACTTTCGTCCATCGGCGCCAAGTCTTGCTCAAGCTTCACCACCACGCGGTCCATCGCTCCAAAGCCTCCAACTTGCCCTTCACGCTTGCAACCAGTCCATCAAGCCAAGTCATGTCTTGATCTTCTCCACCTTGATCATATGACTCAATGTCATGTCTTATGTGCAATGAGCTCCTTCAACATCACATGTGTGAGCTTTGCAACATCTCCGAGCTATTTCCACCTTCATGGCATATGTTGCTCACATATGTACATGTGGACTAATTACCTGTGTATCTTACATAAACATAATTAGTCCACCTAGGTTGTCACTCAATTATCAAAACCACACAAGGACCTTTCACCAAGGTACCTCTTTTTCGACTATTGGTGGAGAGGGAGACATCCACGTGACCACTTCGAGCGGTGGGTTCCACCCCCCTAACCCCCCGCCAATGACGGCTAAGGAGAAGCACCTAGCCAGCAGTTAGATGACTCGATGAACCTCATCTGTGCGATTGCGGAGATCGAGCTGTGATAAATCCTAAGAATACATTGGAGTTTTGTGTCCCAACAAGCATGAAGTAAGTGAAAAGTGTATCTGTTTAAATGTTTATCTCTATATGTGTGCGTGTACTAATGTATTATCTTATAACGTTATGGATTTGCGAAGTGTCGTTTCAATGAGTGGCTCTACGGTCCTAAGAATCAATGGCCGGGGCCACCAAAGGCAAAGAAAAAGAAAGAGAAAAGGTTAATTTACAAAACACCTCCAGTCATGTGCGAATGTGGTGTTAAATCCAACTACGGTCTAGTCCCTTCGAAGCTTGGAATATGCCATTATTGCGGCGATATGGTTGACTATGATAAGATTGGTTATTTTTATGGTAAACATGAAATCGTATTATATTTCTTTTGCTAGGACATATATGATATAATTTTTCGTTTGAACATAGCACTAGGAAATATATGTGGGAATGTTATGATGGTCAAGCTAAGTTCTTGAATGAATTGAAGGGGAGGCAAGTAATTGCAAGGAAGAAGGGATATGGACCTGACTACGTCAACCTACGTCAGGCGCGGGCGCGCTGGGCAGGGCGCGGCGGGCGTGGCGTGACGGCGGCGCGGCGGGAGTCACGGCGGCGCATTTTCCCGCGGTGGCGCATTTTCTCGTCTAAGGACGAAGACACTTAACAAGGGGTCTGCCGTGCCGTGATATGTGGCGCGGCAGCCCCGCCGCACCGTGACGGGTGGCGCGGCAGACCTGCCACTTCAACGGTCGCCGCAGCCGTTGACTGCCCCCTGTCGCGCCGCTATGTATGGCGTGGCAGCGTGAATTAGCCGACGCCATGCAAACATGCGCGTCCAAAAGTGTTAGTTTTGAAAAAAAAAACAATGTCAGTTTTAAAAATAGTTTTAAAAAGTGTTAAAAATAAAAAAAATCTCAGCCAATCGCCCACATATAGAACTTGTACAAAACTCGCTACAAAAAATATTCGCACATCATCTGAAACTAATCCAGCGCACGTCATGGCTTCGCAAGACACAGATGTTTACGAGGCAAAAACGACTGGGAATCACATCTTCTTGCCTCAATGTACAGACACTGGTTAAAAAACGAGCAGAAGGATGACACAGCATTAGTAGAAGTGCAAATTCAAGGTTTCCATTACTCAATGCACAAATAAACGACTTGTGACAAAAGCTGAACAGATATTGTTTTGACATGGAAGACGGCAAAAGGGAAATGTAAAGAGGCTTTTATCCGTGTGTCATTAAAAAAGTTTGAAATTACGCACAAGCCATTAAAAAATTGAGTTTCCACGAATGTCATCGTTCTAAACTTCTTTGTTCTCCAAGCCATTCCGTCCGCTTTTCTATTTAACGGTGTCAAACAGACATGTAAAATAACCATTTTACTCTATAGTGAGGTCCGTTTGTCAGCCACCCAAACTTTCTCTTTCTCTTGCGCCTCCATTCCGCACTCCCCGTGCTCCTGCTCGTGGCGGCGCGGGCGGGGGCCAACGACCTCGCAAGCGACGCGCGGGCGCTCCTGGCGTTCCGTGACGCCGTGGGGCGGCGCCTGGCGTGGAATGGACGGGGTCTCCTGCGAATACAGCCGCGTGGCAGTGCTGCGGCTCCCCGGGGCGACGCTCTTGGGGGCGGTCCCCGCGAGGACGCTAGGGAACTTGACGGCGCTCCACACGCTCAGACTCCGCCTCAACGGGCTCTCCGGCGCACTCCTGGCCGACCTCGTCTCCGCCGCCGCGCTTCAAAACGTCTTCCTCAACGGGAACAGGCTGTCGAGCGGGTTCCCGCAGGCGATTCTCACGCTCTCGGGGCTCATCAGGCTCTCGCTCGGCGGGAACAACTGTCGAGGCCCATCCGTGAGCTCGGCAACCTCACGCACCTCGTGGTCCTGCTCCTTGAGAATAATCGCTTTTCCGGCGAGATTTGAATGTGAAGCTACCGCCGCTGTAGTAGTTCAATGTTTCGTTCAACCAGCTAAATGGATCCATCCGGCCTCACTTGGTCGCAGCCAGCGCCCACGCTCTGGGGACGGGCTTGTGTGGCGGGCCCTTGGGGCCTTGCCCAGCGAGGTTTCCCTTCCCCGCTCCAACAAGGTGAGGCGCGCCGACGCCTGCTCCCCATGGCGAAGTGTGTGGCATGGCGAGCGGCACCAACAGTGGAAGTGGGGGAGAAAGTGGCCATAAGAGCAAGCTCTCCGGTGGCACCATTGCCAGAATTGCTGTAGGCTCCGCCTTGGGCGCCGCACTTCTCTTCCTCCTCGTCTGCCTCTGTCGCTGTCGCAGGTCGGGGAGATGACCAGCGGAGCTGCTGTAGCGCAGTAGACCACAATAGGCCACCCCAACGCGCGAGCACGGGAAAGCGAGCTCCGCCCCAATGCAGGCGCGGGCGAACGAGCTCCACCCCGGCATCGACACAGCGAGGCTGGCGCACGGCAAGGAGGAAGGTGGAGCTAGGTCGCTGACAGTTTGGCCCAACTAGAGAGAGAAAGAAGCAAGAGGAAAGGACGAGAGAATTGATATTTTAGATGTTTCCACTGACCGAGCCCATATGTAAGGGCTGCCAAACGGTAAAAACCAAATAGAACACAGACGAAATGGCTTGAAGAGCAAAAAAAATTTCAGAACATGACACTCGTGGAAGCTCAAAATTTTTAATGACTTGTGCATAATTGCAAACTTTTTTAATGGCACATGGGTAAAAGCCTCAAATGTAAAATATCCTACAGCATACAGAGTTGACAACCAATAACTTCATGTGGAGTTATCTCCATCCTCAACAATCTTCTAGACCAAACAAACACGACAAATAGAAAACGACTTATTTTGCCCATCTTTTCAAACAAAAAAGGGACTGGGAAGCAGAAGTATCCCTATGAGATGCTTGTTGTCCCAATTTCACCATCTCTGTCTTGCCATTGGCCTGAAAAGAAAAAATGATGAAGAGTAGAATGATTAGAAATCCCAACAGCATGATGTTTAACTGCACAATAGAAAGAAGATTGATTTGCATTCTAAAAGGGATAGATTACACTATGTTGACACCTTTGAAACCTACACATTAAACAAAGCACAGGCACAATGAACTCAAGCCATAATATCTGAAGGATGATTATGCCAAAATCATGCTCATGGTTAATTGATTAATCTACAACCTCAGTCTACCAATGTGCATCGATCCTGAAACAGAATCACTGGCTTGGCATGTGATGATGAGAAATAACATAAGAGGGCAGGCATTTAACCTAAAACATGATGAACCATTAGCACAGGTTTCCAAACTTCACCCATGCTACTTTCTAAAAAATAAGTTCCTGAGCAAAGCATCTTGATTCTAGAGATAATACATGATCAAGTTAAGCAAGCAAAATGCACAAACCTGTCTGAATTTCTGCTTCCACCAAAAGAGCCCCTTTCTCTGCTTCCTTGAAATCCCCATCTTTCTTCCTGCCTTGGGGGTGGTTCCATACCACCACGAGAACGCGGTCTGTCCACCACTGTAGCCTGTGGTTCCTCCCCTAAACTAGTTGGTGCAAGTGTTGTAACCCTGCCTGCACCAGAACGTGGCCTTTGCCCAAATCGAATCTTGTCATCCAACTCCCTTGAAAGCTGCTCAAGCTGGCTTTCCAACTGAGATATCTTCTCAGACAAATCTTTTGCATCTACCGATGTCTGGTCAGAACCATTACTCATCTTTCCCTCAATTTCTTTAAGATCCACCCTCAGAAGGTTGATTTCTTCTTTAAAATTTCTTTCTTCATCAGACTCTGGCCTGAAAGGTTTGGTGCATGAATATTCAAATCACATGGTAATACGTCCCCAGAAACTAAATGGAAAGATTTTAAGAGAAAAGGAATCAATTTTGACAGGATATAAAGTACCAAAGTAGTTAATTTACTTCAAATTCTTAACAGTTCAGGGAGGATTGAAAAAGATAATGAAACTGAATTGCCCTAAATGATACTGAAGCTGAATTAGATGAACAAAAAAATGTTATTTTCCCAAATAAAATTTGTTGGTATCAGATCATGTTGAGAATCATTTAACCACCAATAGCGAAAGGGTGGAATAAAAGAAAATTCATTTACCCTAACATCATGTAATTTATCCCAAATTTAGGTGTGTTGAAAGTGGTTTAATAATCAGCAGTTTCAGACATCAAGCCTTAGCATAATACAATAGAAGATAAAACCAGAGGAGATCCCACGATCATCAGTAAGTTATAAGAGTTCAAGAAGACATATAGCACCATTGTTTGGAATCTCAATTATACAAAACCACAGAAGAAAATGCAGGTGTATTTTTTGAGTGGGACACAGGAGCATATTGCCTCATCAATGTGGAACAAAACTAGAAAACAGAACCTTTACATTGAAGAAATTTCAGCAGCCTGAAGGTCTGCTAGTAGAAACTATAAAAATTAGATATACAAACTTTTAATGCTTGTTTAGATGCCTCAAATCTGGACCAATTCACATGAAATGTGCTAGGATCCAGGCAACCCAAACAGGACCTAAGTGTATGTAGAAAGAAAAGCTCCAACTGACAACTGACAACTGAAAAGAGATGTACTCGTGGCAACAGTGTCAAATATAAAACTATACAAACATCTTCTGATGGATGCCTGTTCGCTGGTTGATTTCTGGGCTGATAAGCCCGGCTGGTGCTGGTTTGTTGTAAGAGGAAAATACTGTTGGCTGGCTGATAAGCTCTGGCTGAAACCCAACAAGCGAACAGGTTGTGCACAAGTTCACTCGAGTGTGTCAGCATATTAAAACAAAAGGGCGTACCAGTGTAGAGAGCTCCCGCTCTGTGCGGGGTCTAGGGAAGGGTGTCAGTGGCAAGCCTTACCCTCGCCTGTGCAAAAAATACTAAATTTTTATTTGTACTCAGATAAATTAAAATAAACCCCACCAATGGTAACCAAACCATCAACAAAGATCACAGCATGCACTTTTTAACTATAGTTAATGCGCTTCATATATCACACTTAACCAGAGGCAAATAAATAGCATAAACATTAAAGTGCTACAAGATTAGCAAGGCAGAGCTGTTGATGTAGAGGATGGGGTGCTTGGGCTTGTTCAATCATCTAAAAATCTATTTAGAGTTGTTTTGTTCTAATGCTTATTCAGGACAAGGAAATTATACAGCAGTGAGTGATGTAAACAAAAACTCCAAGTGATAGAAATACAACTTTACCAATATACCACAACAATCCCACTAAAAATGTCACACCAGATATCATTTCAAAAATTTGCTTCATTGGCTATTGCTGCAGGTCCATGACCATGACCTTAACAACACACATGATTAATGATTTAATAACAAGGATGCTACATTATGACAAGTATATCAAGAATAAAATTCACTAAAATAAGCATTGATTAACTGCACAATGTTCAAATAATTATGAGTAAGGATGACATTATACGATCAAGGGTCACATATCAATATCCAATGCCTCAGGCATGACCAACCCAGTGTATTGCTGATGGCCATATGGTGAGCTATGGTGGTGGTAGCATGCTATCACATAATGCCTCGATGCAAACATAATACCTTAGTGTTGGCCCACTTACATGTAGTGAGAACAAATTCATGTGATACCAGTGTGTAGGCATGTCAAGATTATGCTTGGATGTACTAAGCACCAGGGTGCTACAACAAAACATGACTCACTTGTGATTGGAACATACCAGGAGTAGTGGTCAGTTTTAGCAAAGCAAACTTGTATGATACAACAGATAAAAGATATGCCATAAGCAAGTGCGTCCATTACAAAATCGATGTTGAGTGAGGTTGCAGCTTTCTAACTTATGTCAGTACTCAGCATTGCACTGCCACAAGTAACAGAAATTCTATGCATAATCAAGTGGTAATTCCACGGACATCATACCTATTTATAGCACGATGCTCGAGCTCAAGATCAATCTTCCTCCAATCTTTCCCTTTCTCCTGCAACACCACTTCTCTTGGCTTGGCATCACCAAATGGATTAACCTTTGGCCGTGCCCTCGGTGCTCCTTCACTCCCAACGGCTGAAACCTGCGACCCAGGGCTCCCAGGGCGGGAGGAATGAGCGCTATTCGGCCTGCTGGAGTGCGAGCTGTTAGGCCGGCTGGTCTTCTGCTCAATCTCATTCTCAAACTTCCTCCAGTCCACCCCTTCTCGGCCAGCACATCCTCCCGGGGCCTTGCAGCCCCAAACGGGCTTGGGCGGTTGCGGGCCACCTCAGCAGGTGGGGTGGAAGCAGCTGCCGCCGGGTCACGTTTAGGAGGAGGATTGAGGACGATGCGTGGCCTCTCCCCCGCCCCCTGGCCGTTGTGTGGCATAGGGGTGGCTCCACGGACCCAACGGTCAGAATCAGAAGCAGATGGTGAGTCGCGGAAGCCCGGCGAGTCACGGAAGCCACCTCCAGAACCGAGGCTGGGGTAGCGCGACGGGAGCGGCTTCTTGTCGCGTGACCAGTCGTCAATGTCATCAGCACGGCCGAGAGGGGAAGGCCCGCCGAACCTATCGCGGCGGCCAGAGTCGGCGGGAGCCGGGGTGAACTTCTTAGTGGCGCCCCAGTCGTCAGCCTCGTCGGCGCGGGAGGGCATGTCAAGATCCGAGCTTCGGCCTGGCCCGCGGCGGCCCTCGTCGTCGAAGCCGCCCCAGCGCTCCCCTCCGGCGCCTCCCCCGGGGCCGCCGAAGCCGCCGCCGCCGCCGTAGGAGCGGAACCCGCGGGAGCGGTCCAGCTCCTCGGCCGAGTGCTCCCGGGGCCCCGTGGGCAGCATCATCATCTCCTCGTGGGTCAGGCCCTTGGGCTCGACGTGCGCCGCGCGCCGCTGGGCCGCGGCCGCGCCGTAGGTGGTGAACTCGGACAGCGACAGCGTGGTGCCCTTCTTGTTCTTCTTAGACTTGCCCCCGGCGCCCGCGGCGGCCGCCTCGCGGAGGCTCGGGAAGCTGGCGGCGCCGCCCGCGGCCGCGGGCGGCTCGGGCGCCGGGAAGGACAGGGCCTGCTCGCGCTCCTCCTCCTCGGCGCGCTCGGCGTCCAGCGCCCACGCGCCGACGCCTCCCCAGGGCTTCGACATGGCTGGCTGCCGCCGGTGCGAGATCTAGGGTTTGGTGGTGCTCGGTGGCGGAGGGAGGTGGTATGTGGGTGGGTGGAATCGAGGCGAGCCGGGGGGTCTTGTTGGCTGGGGTCGGGGGGTAAAAGGCCGGGTGGTGCACGCTAAAATCCCGCCGCGCCGTGCTCGTGTCGTGTGCGTTGCGAGCTGTGGTTTGTGGGCTCTGGGCTGGCGCTAGCTGTGACGGCCGACGGGTGTGCTGCTGGCCTGCTGTGGTCTCGATTCCTTCGAGAGGACGCGGCCCGTGGGTGGGCGTGCGGCCTCGTGTGTCGCGTGACGAGACTAGCGACCTGGGCCGTCCGATCAGGCATCGAAGGCTCAAAGCACTTCTTTTCCGAGGAGGATAAGAGGCACGAGAGGTCTGCCGGGCGTCGAAGCACTTGGATCGTACAGGGGAAAAGACAAGTTCAGAAGTTTAAAAGGCCACCACGCCAAGTGAAGCTTTTCGCTGTCATCAAAGTTCGATTTGATTTGGATCCACGTGTACTCCTACGTGCCTTTAGCGATCGCATTAGGCCATATTCAATGGAGAGTTTTATTTTACTGTTTCCAAAATTGCCACGTCAGTTTTATGGGCTAGGACTAAGAAATGAAACTGGCTCTCTCAATGAAAGGTTTCATTTCACTGTTTCATAGACAACCTACATCATTTAATGTATGTATGGTGTTGTGATCAAATGTACCAATCAAATATGTAGTCATTTATCTAAACTGAACGTCGTCATTGTGGACAATAGATTTTGCACTGTTGTTGTTCAAAACAAAACAAGCTTTCAGATTACAGATCAAAAGCATCAGGTGCACACATGCAGTAGCTATGTAAAGTAAGAAAGAGAGGAGGAAACATGCACAGATAGCTACGGCAATTGTTGCCACCGCCGAACTGAACATAGGTTTACAAATGAGATAATACTCAAGTACAGATCAGATTTTAGGAACCGAGACAAATACAGATCAGGTTTCATAGCAAATACAGATCAAGGCATCAGGACAAATACAGATCAGTAATCAGGACAAATACAGTTCAGGTTCCAGGACAAGTTTCAGATAAGGACCATAACTAAGTTGCAGATGACAAGTTTAAGGTAACTAAGTTTATAATAACAGAGAGGACTCAATGCACTTCATAGATTTCAGTTAACTAAGTTTGTCATAACTAAGTTTCAGATCAGGACCTTCATAGGGTTCATCTCAGAAACCATACAAGCATCAGGTGCACACATGAGCTTTCGGTTCAGATAAGAGAGAAACCATACAAGCCTGGCATTGTATAACTCTGGGAGATTTCTGGACAGTCACATTCACACATGAGAAAATATAGATAACACTCAACTATATTTTCATTCACATAAAATGCAGATAGATTTTCATTTTAGAGATAAAAAATTCAGATAGCCTCTCTCTCTCAATTCACTTCTTAAACATTGGGCAAGAGCAAGCAACCATCATCCGTAATGGTTAACCATATGAGCTACGAGCTAAGCTTTGAGCAACCTTAGTCAGCAAATAACTTTTCCAAAAAAACTAAAATACGTGCACTACAAATACAGAACTTCAGTTTCAACCAACGGAAATGCAAAGTTGAATCGCATAATTTAGATAATCGCATAAGTTCAGATAACTTCGTAATCACTACAAACTAGTATGAGCGCATAAGTTCGGATAATCTGGAACAACAAGATAACTAAGACTTAATTGTAACAAAGAAGATAATGGAGCGACCAAGTTTTCCAATGGCAAAAGATGATGCCGAGATAATGGCGGTAAATTGATGATGACCATTCAACCAACAATGTCGAGATGCACCCCATAGATTCATATAGATGCTTTTCACCTGCATAAATAAACATAGTTCAAACATGAGATCTCGAGATACAAATGCACTTGCACATATATATAAACAAACGTTACAGATATATAAAATTATTATTACATGTATTCTATCTCAAACTCTGTGTATGTATACGACCACCAAATTTACTCAGATATGTTCTACCAAATCATTCTTAAGTCGGTGATGAGCCGATCGATCTCGAATATTAGTATCTTTTTTCTAAAGCTCTCTCGAAGCGGAACATACTGATCGGAGAGCTTTAGGTTCTTGAACAGTTCTTTGAACTAGGAGCCACATTTAGATCTAGATTTTCTTCAATGTCCTCTTTCTTTTCTCATCTTCAACTATCATATTGTGAAGTATGATGCAAGCTAGGACAACATCACGGAGTACATCTCGGTCATATAGATGAGCTGGTCGTTTTAGGATGCACCATGATTTGCAATACACCAAAGGCTCTCTCAATATCCTTTCTTGCCCATTCTTGTTCCCCTGTGCATACAACTTGTCCTTGTCGGTGATAGGGAGTCGTATTGACTTAACAAATACTGCCCACTCAGGGTATATTCCATCAGCAAGATAATACCCAGTGTTGTGTTGATTCCCATTGACCATGTACTGAACTCTAGGAGCTAGTCCTTTTAGCTCATTGATAAATAGAGTAGATTGGTTCAAAACATTAATATCATTGTTAGAACCCACTACTCCAAAGAACGCATGCCAAATCCAAAGATCATGTGATGCCACGGCCTCAAGAATCAGCGTCGGCACTTTCTGATCACCACGAGTGAACTGACCCTTCCATGCATTTGGGCATCTTTCCCATTGCCAATGCATGCAGTCAATGCTGCCGAACATACCAGGAAAACCTCGTTTTTCACCAATTTTGAGTAGACGCTCAGTATCTTCCATATTGGGGCGCCTCAAATACTGTCCACCAAATACATCTCTAACACCTTTGACAAAATTCTTCATCGACTCCATTGCAGTAGTCTCTCCAATCTTCAAGTACTCATCTAGTTCATCTGCAGCACTACCACTAGCCAATTAGCGAATAGCTACAAGACATGTAGTGGATGAGCCCTTGCCTGGTGGCATCCACCCTTTGAGTAAAATAATCGGAATTTTGGCCTAAGGCCTCGACGATCACGTGTGGGAAAAGAGGCCTAGACATACTAAATCTTTAATGAAAAATATTGGAAGGATAAAGAGGATTTTCGAGAAATAATCATTCACTAGTTTTTGATGTGCTTCCTCTCGTGGTCTCTTGATGTGCTTCCTCGGATGCAGTCGATGGTCACCATCAAGCTTTAGTAGAGCTTGACGAAGGATGAATGACCACCGTGGCTTCACTGATAACATCATCTAGGATCTCATCCTCAGCAATGAACTCATCCAACGAGTACAGAGGATTTTGACTTTCATCAGGATTGTCATGTTCCTCAGACATCTTTGCAGATGAGAAAAAGGAAAGGTGAGAGAGTACAGTAATAAGAAAAATAAGATAGAAAGTTTAAAGATATTAAGATCACCTCAAAACTATAGAACAAGATGGAAGAAGAATGAGGAAGAGAGAAGACCTTCGTGTGTGTTAAGGAAAAGAGAGGATGGTGTATATATAGGTGCACAGGGCAGCCATAAAAGAGAGGATGGTGTATATATAGGTGCACACTGAGCACTTTTCACACCTAATGTGAAACTGAGCAGTTTTCACACCTAAAGTGAAACTGCCATAGTAGATAATGCAACATTCACACTACAAACTGCCATAGTATATAGTGCAGCATTTACACATGATATGAGCAGTTTTCACACCTAAAGTGAAACTGCCATAGTAGATAATGCAACATTCACACTACAAACTGCCATAGTATATAGTGCATCATTTACACATGATATGAGTAGTTTTCACATCTAATTAATATAGTGCACATGATGCAGCATTTACACATGATGTGAGCAGTTCAGAACTAACCTTAGTTTGCAAACAACTTTTCTTCTATCTTGCGTATTGCCCTGTCTCGGCTAGCCTTTTGATCTTGACATGTGACTTATGTCTTGATTAAGCGAGGAATTATAGACCTCAAACATCTTTGCTTCTTTTTTGCTCCTTTGTTGCCCTCAAATTTGCATTTGATATCCGAATCATGTGCTTACATGACCTTTTCCCGCTCCACCTTCCGATATTTTGCACCTTGATAATTTTCTCAATATTGTCCCCAAGGATGACAATTCCTTCCATAACATTGTCCTTCTTGCGCCTTCCACTACGCTTCGACCTTTCTGTCGCTTCTCTACCAATGGGGACGTGATTGTTCATCTAGAACATCAACTATCTCACTCTTGTTTTTCTCTGTCTCCTCAAAAAAAAGTGCACACCATTTGGGCTCGTTTTTTAGTATCTTCCACCAATGCACCAACGAAAAAGGCTTTCCAAACCTGTTTGCATACATCTTTTGTGCCTCATCTTCCGAAGATGTCGTTGGAGTATCCGCTTGTATGCATTTGAGTTACCTTACTCCAATAGTCATTGAAATCGGTGATCGATGACTTGAGGCGTGACCAAATGAACCTTGATTGGTTTATTTCCTCCCACGCTTCCCATTCCCTTTCTTGTTAAAATCATCGGTGACTTCCTTCCAAAATGTGTCACCTCTCTTGTCATTTCCTTAATTGGGTCTTTAGAAGCATTCAACCAAGCAATCGGCCTACAAAATACAAAATATTGATATAAGATGAACAAATCAAGTATTATCGACAACTTTGGCCTACAAAATTAAGTATTATACCAGTCTCTCTTCCTCTTCATGACTCGTTATCTCTTCTTTACTTGCCTATTTGCCTCATTGTTGTCATCTTCATCAATGTCAATGTTCACCGTCTCCTTTGTTGAAGTACCTTGTTTCTTGGTTTGGGGTGCTCCACAGGCACTTGGTGGTGGTGATATCGGGTTGAAGCCCATAGGTCTGTCCAACCAAATGAAAATTTTCACCTTGAATTTGTAGCTCTCTTGTGGATAGTGTGGTTGTTGAAGAAAATTCATAAAACCACACGGTGGATAGACCTGAAGTTTTCACACTATCATTAACACTATCCATAATAGAGTGAACCTTTCTATGCTAAGATCAAC